TATATATATATATATATATATATATATATATATATATATATATATATATATATATATATATATATATATATATATTTGTTCTTTCTATAGTCTTTCTATTATTTGTATATCTCTATTAGATCAATTGATGCATAAATGAAACATTGATAAGAGAAATAAGAAGATGATATTTGTCGTATTTGTAATATTGTGTATATATATCCATCTCGACAGTTTGTTTCAAATTAACATTTGTAAATAAATGAAATATATAGAAACTGTAATTTTGTTCGTTAAATAGTAAGGTTATGAGTGATTTTCTTAATGCATCTTACTAAAAATACGGCATTGAACTTTACATCTCCTTAGCTACGTCAAAATAAGCGACAAAACCTTATCTTCTGTATGTATGGTTTCTTAGTAGCACCATATATTGGAGGTAGGAACTGTATTTGACAGATATTACGGTTAGTCGGGAATACGATGGACGGGTTCATAAAAAGAAGTAAATAATATATTGCATACCCGTTACGCGATCCACAACGACGCCTCCCGCTTCCGAAATGATCAAAGACGCTGCGGCTATATCCCATGTCGAAATGCCAGGGCCTTCGATATGGTAAGCTTCCACGATTCCCAAAGCGACGTAGCACAGCGTTAATGCCGCCACACCGAGTGTGCGAATACTTCAAGAAAAATTTGATTGAATAACGCGTAATAATGGAAAGTCGACTTGCAGTGACGGCGGCTAATTCGTCGCATACTGAAACTCACCCTTGAGCTGCCTTAACGATAGCTTGGACTCTCTCCACCATCTTCTCCCGCATATCGTCTATTTTCATGAAGCCGCATTCCATGCAAACCAAAGCTTTCGACAAATCTGTAAAATCGCAATTGCGATTCGGAATGCAAGTATGCATCGATATTTCATAATTGTTGAAGTGACTAACATTTGCGTACAATGACGCTTGTTGACTTTTTCGTCGACGACAAATTTCGGAGATATAGACCGCGATAAGGTTGCCGTCGACTATTGCAAGGCAGCGATCGGCAGAATATTGATCTATGATATGTGTTATTCTGTCACTTGAAAGTAAAAATACAAATAAACGCAATGAAATAAGCCTATAAGAGCCAATGCAAGATGTTAGTGCCACGAATTAATATTTACAGAAATATTAATATAGCATCATATAACTTAATATAATATCATATAAAATTAGGTTTAGGAGGGTGACCTTTATCATATATATGAAGATCAAGGTCATAGGTGCTGGGTCTGTTATTGTAAAGATTTACCAATATTAATTGTATAAACGTTTCGGTTGTACGTTTCAACCCTCTTCAGTAAAAATACGCACGCAATTCTTCAAGGAGAACGAGAGCCAAATCTAGACGGAGTAAATAACGGTAAAAAACGCTATACCAATCTTTTGAGAACCATAATATCCAACAGACCGTTGCATGGTAGATTTTAAATTAGTGGAGCCTTTAATAGTCCGATAATCTTGTTGCAAGACCTAGGCAAGCCAGCCGCCGTGCACCCATCAACATGTTTCTAAGAACGTGGTAGAGAGTCTGAGATATAAAAGACATGGCAAAGATGATTTTTTTACATGGTGGAAGAAATGAAAATTATGCTTTTATATAAAAAAGAGAAAAAAATTAAATAAAATGGCTTACCAAAGTCTCACACAAGAGGAACAATTTCAAAAGTAAGTCAAAATAAAAAAATAGCTTTCAATCTGTTTCAACGCAAGGCTCAGAGGAAGGCAAAGTGCGCAAAGCTTGATAACGCTACATATACAATAAATTTGGAAACATAGGTAAAAATAAAGATTAAAATGCATATTTTATTATAATTCTGTTTCGCACTTACCTTTACAAAATCGGCATTTATGTCATTTGATAGAGCAAAGTTTCAAGTTTAAGAATCCACTTTCTGTATTGCTGTGCAATAAAGTTTAATGAAGTCATGGGCAACCGAAGTCAAAATGCTCAATTTTACTTTAATCCTTAGTAATACGGAAACACAAAATTGTAAAGAAATTTTTTCAGAATGTAAATTGTATAGAAAACTTCAATCTTTTACACGGAAGAAATTAAAATTTTTTCAGATTTTTTCTTGCGTTTGTGGCATGTCTCAAATTGAGAAGAAAATTTTCCATTTTGTCCATTTCGTTTTCATAAAGACCACATTACACTAGTGATTGATAAAAGTTAAAAGTTTTAAGAAGACGGCCAGTCTGTCCTGTATAAATTACAATTATTACATTTAATACATATAACATTCCTATTATGTAGTATAGGTGTCTTTTTATACTTATAATGTTGTCTAATTTGTTGTAACCGTAGAAAGTCAATTTATTGCCAACGGTAATTACAAATTGGAGAATTTTCTTCAGATTGACATGATATGTTAAAAGTTTATATAAATATTTCTATTTAAAGACTACAACAATAATATTGGCCAGGATTAGGTACGTGTCTAGCTCCATTAGTATTTTTATTTTTTGGTTCAAATTATTTTTAAAATATTAGCGAAAGACAATTATAGTGGTCATTTGTATAGAACAGTTTCATGTATAGACACTATATTGACTATGCATACATAGGGAGAGCTCCGTGAATGGTTATTGTAGTGGTCATTCGTTACGCGGATTAAATTAAACAAAATTAATAATTCGTTACCTTCGATTTTGGATACTCGAATCGGCTTCCCGTTCAAAAACGCGCCTCGTCCTTTCCTAGCCGTAAACAGTTGCTCGAGAATGGGATTGTACACGATACCAAGGACCATTTCCTTCTTGATGGCTAAACCGATTACTACGCATGTGTGCGGAAATCCGTGAACGAAGTTCGTGGTGCCGTCGATAGGATCTATGATCCACGTAGGACTATCTGTCAATTCAGGTAGTTCCTTACCAGTCGATTCTTCCGCGATAAATCTAATGCGAAAAAGACCGCCGCGTTAATCTTGTCACTCATAACTATTTCTGTTCAAATTAAGTGTCGTTCGAGGAGAAAAAGTATTTACTTGTGACTCGGGAATGCGCTTTTAAGTTTGCTGACAATAACGTCCTCTATCTTACGGTCGTACTCGGTAACGAGGTCCCAGTCACCTAATTTCTCGTTGACGTTCTTGGGACTGTCGATGAAACTCCGGAGAATCTTAAACATCATTTAAAAAAACATCATTTAAAAATTAAAATCTAATATGTTACAAATATATCATTCGAATATATCATATGTATCGCGTAGGCGAAAATTATTGTAGAATAGCATAAACGATGTTTTGCGATAATCATGAATAAATGTCACGATTACGACAGTGAAGTAAACGCGCTGTAAACATTGTAGAATTTAATCGCCGAGTTGCACGAAGCAGTTATCTGATTCACACTATTTTTCAACTTCTAAGACGAGTTCCGTTTTTCCTGTTTCTTTCAGTACGGTGAGCCGCTGTTGTTCACGGCACCATTTATCGCGTTTTAGCCTTCAGATCTAAATCGACATTCTTTCAGCTTATTTTTTACGATTAATTTATGTTTATTACGCGGTAAATTAAATTTATCTACGTATATTTTATGTTTATGTATACTCGTTTGCAGTTTGAATATTTTTTTTTTCGACACATTTCAAAACACATCCAACGTCCAGTGAGAAAATCTATTTTATTTATAAGAATTACTCAAAAACAAGTTCTGCCATTGGACATCAGCTGCATTCCAAAGTGCAGCGAAGAAAACGTGTTTAAACCATTCTGCAAACGACTATATATTGGATTTCAAAACACTTTTTTTGATATAGCTTGGAACGCAATCCGTGGTCCAAGGAGAAAACATAACTTTTTAGAGATTAATTAAAAACAAATTCCCTTATTGAACTATCGACTGCGTTCCAAAGCGTACGCGCACGCATTAGGAAAAAAAGTGCTTTAACCATTTTGAAACTTAGTTTAAGGAACTATAGATCGTATGATGGGAGAAGAATATAAAATTTTGAAAAAATTTTTTTCTCTGATATCACGCGATGTTAGTAATTGTGGCGATGATGAAGAAGATAATGATGATGATGATGATAATGGTGGCATCTGCTCACCTGGGCAGCTTCGCGTGTCAATTTAATTGCAGTTTCATAATAGACCTCTTCGATATATCGCGCCATTTCCGCACACCCCGTTAAACGTGTGAACGGTACACGCATCGATTACGACCTTGTCAGGAAAAGGCACGAGTGAGCACTGTGCCTCCTGCAACTATACCTCGTGTTTTTCACTTGAATCGCTCGTGATTCCGAGGACAACGATCAGTTCCGCGGCGCGTTCCCCATCAGGCGTCAACTGAAGGTCTTCTCTCGCTCTTTCTCGGAGTACACCTCGATTTAAAATGTCAGACATTTGATATTTTATTTGACAAATTATCTTAAGATTATTCTGATGATCATCATTTATTAAGAAGATAGTGCGATTAACAAACCATAAAAGCGATTTGACTATGTCCTTTCGTTCTTTATCGGTTGTTTAATTACCGCTTCTACACGGAAAGAAAATTTAAGTCTGTGTAACCGAATTGGGACCAGATAAAATGATATCTCTGTTACCGCGGCCTTAAACATTTGTTTAAACATCGAACTATATCAAAATTTGATTGAGATAACTAAGAGTAATTGGTTGAGTATAGAAACTTTTCATAGAATTTTTTCTACTTTTACAACTGAGTTTTCGTCTAGTCCCCGGGCAACAGAAAATTTAATTACACTAACGGAGCTATTTTTCCGTGTACACGCTGATGAGCAGTCGAAATAATGTACTGCAAATGCACTATTATGAAATAATCAACTTATCGTCATTTTGAAATAACAGTGATGAAATACAATTTTGTTAATTATACGTAGTCTGAGATGCATATTACTTGCCTAACCTTCTGATACAAGATACGTCTTCGCGATGTGATTCTTTTGTAAAGAGAACGGACGTGAATCTATGCTATCTCGTTGATTTATCTCTTACGCTTGGTGTATCTACGAAGAAATCAGAAATCTCAGTGACATAAGAATCTTTACATAGTGATCCTAAGGTTATTTTCAACAGCAGCTGGCTGAGCCTTTGCTTCGTAAACGTGAGTTGTTTCAGGCGACGATAAAAATGGCAGCATTAAAAGAGTTATAATAAGATAATAAATGCATTCATTGATTATCGTGACGGAAACAGGTGCTGTTTCGGGCTTTGCATCCTTGATGCAGATTACGACGCTTTTTATGTGGTTATCAGTACGTGTAGAATTGCTCCGAAGAATATATAAGTCGAATGACACGAGTTGCTATCAATTACAATATGCAAGATGCAAAGAATCGTGAGTTGTTTTATAAAAAATGCGTCTTTTGTGAATTGTTTATATAATATTATATAAATATTTATCATATAAAATGGCGAAATAAATATACGAAATAAATATGGAAAGAATAATTAAAGTTTCCTCAAGACGATATATCATGTAAAATGTGAAAAATGAAAATCTGTTATCACAAAGAATCTCTCTATTTTTACGATATACGATAACTTCACGATCTTTCATTGGCATTCTTTGCGTGCAAAACAACTTCTTCCTGAATAGAAATTGAACTTCGTAATGGTGTAGTCACAAAAAGTAATAAATTTTATCTAACTGCACTACTAGTAATGTAAAAACGCTACATCTGTCCAGCTGCTTTCCCTCATCTAATCTAAAATAAATAGTAAAATTATATAATTATGCGTCATTTATGCGCTTTTCGAAAATAACACATGCAAAAATTTTATGCTCTATTCGTTATACCATAAAAAAAGTTTTGTGGCGCGGGAAGGGAGTCAGATGGACGCCAAGTCAGCTTTCTCATTAATAAATAAGAAGATATTTAATAAAACAAATATATAGAAATTATGCGCTCTTATATTCAGATAATTTCGATTTTTTCGCTGCAATTTTTAAAGGACTTTTCTCTTGACGTAAAAAGTATAATTATCATAGAATTTTTCTAGGGAACTTTTCATAGAACTTTTACAGAGACTCTGGTTCATATGTAGGCCACTTACATTGCCGCAGTTTTATTATTGTTTTACTTTTACAATTTGGCTATAATAATCGTATCTTTTTACTTTTTTAACTTTTAAATACTTGTCCTTCAAGTTTTCTTTATTAATATTTTTATTTATTATAATAAATAACAATTGTGAAATAAAGTTAAATAATAGCGTTTTTTCCATTTTAATTCGTTCCGGACGACACAAATAAAGATAGGAATCTAAAAAAAAATTATTGAATATTCTTGGTACTTTCTACTATTATATATAATTTTTGCAAATTTTTTTACAGGTTCAATTTTTTATAAATAAAGTATTAGTAAGAAAATTAATAACTTTGTGTTTAACATGAAAAAAAGCAGTATGGTTGACTCATACATAAATAATTTAGTTGTGCCACTCAGATTTATATGTAGACCAACCATATTGTTTTTCCAGTAATAATCAATAAATAAAATTAACATAATAAATTTATGAGAATAGATAGATTAAAAAAGTTGCATATCATATTGATTTTACGATAATTTATTGATTGTTAGAGTAAAAGAAAAATATTCAAACTGTTTTACACAAACCTGCTTAATCGATTGCAAGTGCATTTTATGGGTATATTTTTTTAATCCTACATATTTTTTGCAGGAATTTGAAGCGTGTATTTTTTCGCTTTTGACGTCACCAACTCGAAATTTTACTACGAATAGCTAGGAGTCTTAAATCTAAATTCTTTTATTTAAATAGAATAAGCAATTGTTTTTTTTTTCATGAAAAGATATTATTTAAGAAATGTGTTTTCTTATTTAAAAACCATATTTTCTTATTAGTAAATTAAAAATATGTCTATTAGTAAATGTCTAAATAAATATGTTATTAGTACTTATCGAATAAATATTTTTCAATTTTGTTAGATATCTTTTCTCTCAGTGTAGCTTTTGATTAAGGTCGACTACTTTCTACTTGAGTTTGTTCGTTTATATATTATGCAACTCTTGGATAACTCTTGGACAATTTGCAGTGTAAACTACGCGTGAATTTCTTAAAATTGCATTTTGTAAGATACTAGCTATAATGTTTTTTCATTACAAGTTCATACACACTTGCATCGATATTATTACGCATTGTCGATATGTTGTTGTTATCTTGAGATTATTACTAAAATTATACTATGCTTTTAGAGAACTATACGATATGCGCGAATCGACTCGGTCTACAATTATACCAGTTTTTTCCGTACATCTTGTTAACTTACATCTTATTAACATATAGCGATAGTGATCGTGTATCCATATTTTCCAGGCTGATATTATCAGTACTTATCGTACTATTATTACAATTACGATCTTTCGGTTCCCAAAGTCTGCGTTCATTGTTTATTAAATTATTACACCGCTCTCAACGCTTATATGTGTTACATAAATACTTAATATTCTCTAACAATCGGCTAGATTTGTTTTGAACGTCTATATTTTTCTGTCTATTCTATTGCTATTCTATTATTTCTACTACTGAAACAGCTTGTTTATAGAAAAATAATATCTTGGTTTTATTTAATATTATGAAATTTACCTTCTACCAGTCATTGCAATCGCAGAGCTTATTCTGAAGTACCCGTCAGAGAATATTAAAATGCGAAGTTTGTTACTATTTCACTTGTTATCCATTTTTCCTGATACGCAAAATGTGATATTTATAACAACTTGTTCATGTGGGTGTTGCCATTGAGCGATCAGATAACACCTCTAAACGTGTAATTATACGAATAATGACGAAAAATCTGTGTTGTATTAAAACAATCCTCCGGAAATATTGATTTATTACACGCAATGAACAGACATAAATATTCATACACAATAAAACTGTACGTGAGATCTTCGCATAGGACCTTGATAATTGATCTGTTTTATCTTATCATGTTTTATCAATCTAACAGTATTTTATAAGACAAATTGCGCATGGAGGCCTATTTAAATGCCATAATTTCTACAGTATTATTACTTTCATTAATTTTAATAAATCGATTAATTGAAAATGCGACGATTGTGAATTGTTTTATTAATCGTGTTTACCATGTACGCGAAAAGCGCTACTACGAGTAAGAAGTATGGAAATTTAATATGTATATTTTAGGTGTCTGCATAGCGATTATTTAAATTACTGCTTAGTTGCAAATTGCATGCGCAATTATAAATATAAATATAAAATATAAAATTATAACTATAAATATATGACAACTTTTTTTCTTTTAATTTAACTAATAAGTGAGCGGATTTGTATAATGTACAGTCGATTCAAATCGCAATGCGAATGTTTTGCGAACTATTAGTTTCCGATTTTACTTACAAATCTATCACACGCATTGCGTGATAGAAAATTGTAACAATCTTTTGGTTTCATGCCGCATTATTACATAATATGTAAACTACAAATTGTTTATGACAACATCTTAACGTTATTAATAAACAATACAGATATCATTGAAAATCACATTTAGAAATTTAGAAATTTTACAGTTTTTTTTCTTAATTTTAACATTTACGAAAAATCCCTGTGTTAGTATAAATATGAAAAAGCGAATTTATTCATTGCATTCTATATTGGATTCGTCGTTCAATTTTTTGGAGTGATCTTGTTTTATTTATAAGAATGACGATTGTTCCAGAGAAAAATGGAAAGTTCATAAATTAATTCGTTTTGTAATGGTCAACGTCGGTGTATAGTGCGACTAACGCAATCACAATAATATGTCGTATGATATCTGAAATTATGACGTCAGTGGAATTTTTGAGGAATACTTCTCTAGACCGGTTCTAAGTAATTTTCTTGTGTAGCGTGATAGGTTGGACACGTACCATGATAGGATATACCTACTCCTGCTTCTCCTTCTCCATCTTTAGCTTTTGAATTATTCAACGCGCGTCATTTTTTCTTCTGATTTCTCGGTCAGATTCTCTGGAGTCTTTCCTCTGGATCTCCAAGTCAATATCGATGATTAATTTAGACATCTCTCGTGCTAGAAGTTCGTTCGATACCGCGGCTTTATAATGTTGCAAGCACCACCTGGAAATAGTTATAATAATTATTTGAGCAATTATATCGATCGTTTATATGGAAAGAATTTTATCATGAAAATTATTTAATTAAATTTTGTAACTGACAAATATATCAACATTTAAGCCTTGATTTATTATCCTTCTATTTCATATATGCTATTTATATTTTAGCTACTTGCACAGAGAGAACGATTTGTTGAATCAAATAAACGCTTCTTTGGTCCAAACAAATTTTTTGGTTGACCGAACAAAGTTTTGGTTAAAAATATTTCGTTGGAACTAAGCCGTAACTATTGAAAAATACAAGACAATTTTATACTCCCTACAAAAGTAGTTATCAGAAGGTTTACGCTAATTGCGAATGATTAATCATTTGGGAGGATTCCGTTTGCCTACAAATTAATTGCCTACAGTATCCATTGCTGACATTCAACTTATCCACATTTCATTTGCACACAAAAATTATTTCCTAAAAAACAATTACCTACAAGTTGTATTACGCACAAATAAAAAATTAAAAACCGAACGCTCATTTGCACACACGATACTTGTGCACAAATCACATTGCACATATAATATTATTGCCTACAGTATGATTGTTTACATGCTCTATTGCGCACAAATAAAAATTAAGAGACGAATGCACGTTTGCGCACAAAAATTATTGCCTACAGTAAGATTGCTTACAAGTTCTATTGTGCACAAATAAAAATTAAGAGACGAATGCACGTTTGCGCACAAAAATTATTGCCTACAGTAAGATTGCTTACAAGTTCTATTGTGCACAAATAAAAAATTAAGAGATGGACGTACGTTTGCACACACCAAACTATTGCGCACAAGCCACATTGCGCACATAATATTATTGCCTACAGTACGTTTGCCAACAAGCTCTATTGCACACAAATAAAAATTAAGAGATAAACGTATATTTGCACACAAAAATAATTGCCTACAGTACGATTGCCTATAAGCTCTATTACGCACAAATAAAAAACTAAAAGCCGAACGCTCGTTTGCACACATAATATGGTAATTATTTAGTTTAGCGGCAACACCTCCGATTTCGATGAAAATAGGCTTAATCGACGCGTTGTCATACCATCTATCTTTAGCTATGTGACTGGGGGGCTTTGCCCGTATCACGGGGATGGGGGCTACAGTCTCTTATGCTTAAGCTAAAGAGTGAATTTCTCACAAAAGACTGTAGCTCCCACCCCACCGTGATAGGGGGGTCTGGGGGGCGAAGCCCCCCAGTCACATAGCTAGAGATAGACGGTATAACTGGATAATTACCAATTTTTTAAACGTACGTTCGTTTCTTAATTTTTATTTGTGTGCAATAGAGCTTGTAGGCAATCGTACTGTAGGCAATTATTTTTGTGTGCAAACGTACGTTTGTCTCTTAATTTTTATTTGTGCGCGATAGAACTTGTTGGCAAACGTACTGTAGGCAATAATATTATGTGCGCAGTGTGGCTTGTGCGCAATAGTTTGATGTGTGCAAACGTACGTCCGTCTCTTAATTTTTTATTTGTGCACAATAGAACTTGTAAGCAATCTTACTGTAGGCAATAATTTTTGTGCGCAAACGTGCATTCGTCTCTTAATTTTTATTTGTGCGCAATAGAGCATGTAGACAATCATACTATAGGCAATAATATTATATGTGCAATATGATTTGTGCGCAAGTGTCGTGTGTGCAAACGAGCGTTCGGCTTTTAATTTTTTATTTGTGCGTAATACAACTTGTAGGTAATTGTTCTGTAGGCAATAATTTTTGTGTGCAAATAAAATGTGGATAAGTTGAATGTCAGCAATCGATACTGTAGGCAATTAATTTGTAGGCAAACGGGATCCTCCCAATCATTTCACTTTTTATTTTTATATACATGTGTGGCATGTTTTAGCTATATAATATATTTATAAACTAAATATATTATTAATATATTAATAATATATTATTAAGTAAAAAATAAAATAATTAGAGAAATACAATAATGTTGAACAAAATTATAATAACTTACACAAAAAGCTTGGCTTGTCTTTTTTTAATATTACATCGATAATAAATATAATATTTTAATAGTTATTAAAATAAGAGAACCATTTGCCTATAAAACAAGGCACGCTAAGTGCTTTTTGTGTAAGTTATTATAATTTTTTTCAATATTATTTTATTTCTCTAATTATTTTATTTTTATTTAATAATATATTACTAATATATTAATAATATATTTAATTTATTATTATATTATGTAGCTAAAATCACATATGTTTATAAAAGTAAAAACTGAAATGATTAATCATTCGCAATTGGCGTAAACTTTCTGATTACTTTTATAGGGAATATAAAATTGTCTTATATTTTTCAATAGAGTATTATTCGCGAGAGTACAATTGATCTAAATAAAGTTGTTTTAATATTTTTTACATACCTTTTAGTTTAACTTTTGTTGTAATTTATTTATAACGATTTTTTTTTGTAAAGACAAATAATGCTAAAGCGCGTACACTTGGCTTCTTTTTTTTACTTTTTTTTTTGAAAGTAATTTTGTTTTTACATCATATCTTTTTTTGCAAAATAATATTAAACAAAGTAAGAAGAAGGAGAGAAAAAAAAAGTACAGAAAGCGGGAAAAAGAAGAAAATATAAGGAGAGAAAATAATACAGATATGTAACAGAAAATAGAGGCGAAGTAAGAAAATAGAAAATAGAGTGATATAAGATAGTAAAATAGGAAAAGTTACTTTTTAAAATTAATTCAATATCATTACTCGTTATTCATCAAGAAAGTACGTTGTTACCGTTATATTTCATTATTAGACAAACAGAGAAAGGGAGCTAAATGCAGTAAATATTGAACTATTAGAAGAAAAACAGTACGAAAAATAAATATGGTGAGAATAAAAAAGTGAAAAAGAAAAAAGGAGATATATATTACAATTATTGATTTACTGACTCGTAATTTATTAAATTAAATAGGCTGTATAGATATTGGAATATAAATAATAAAATAATAAATAAATAAGAAAATGAGTTTCTTTGTTAATAATTTTATACGTTGAACTTGGACATTTTAAATATTAAGGTGTACATAAAAAGCAGGTTCTTTAAATTTTATTTCAGAATAATTCATTTTTATAAAAAATGTGTCTATCTCTCTGTCTCTTTCTCCCTCTCTCTCTCTCTCTCTCTCTCTCTCTCTCTCTCTCTCTCTCTCTCTCTTTTTATTTATTTTTTATTTATTATTTTATTTTTTATTTTTTGTATACGTTATTATATTTAATTTTACTATATTTTATTATTTATTTATTATTATTTCTTATTTATTTATTATTTCTTATTTATTTATTATTTCATTATTTATATTCCAATGTCTATACAGCCTATTTAATTGAATAAATTACGAGTCGGTAAATCGGTAATCATAATATACAGGATGTTTCTTCTTATCACATTAAGTGGGAATGTAGAACGAGTTGAGGTGAACATAAAAGTCCCATACCGTTTTGCGATATTTGTAATAATAACCGAGAAATTAATTGTAAAAGATTAAAGGAAAACACACGCTGAATGGTTGAGCGAGGAGTGCTTGCGATCCAGTAATATAGCAATCAGATGTCAGCGCGCGTCTTATATCGCTCTGATCTTACGTCTTGCCGCACCGCGCCGAGGCGAAATGTAGGAGTGCAGCGATAGAAGTATAGGCAATGGTGCGTTGTTTTTCCAATCACCGCGCGCCGATATCTGTGCGCTATATTATTAGGCCGCGAGCGTTCCACCTTCAACCATTCAGCATGCGTTTTTGCATAACAATTAATTTCTTCGCTTTTACAATTAATTTCTCGGTTATTATTGCGAATATCGCAAAACGGTATAAGACTTTTATGTTCATCTCAATCCGTTCTACATTCCCA